GCTCTGACCCCACCATCTCCTGGTTGTCTCAGTTGGAGAGCAAACGAGATGCCTTCTCGCCAGTCCTGCTACAGTTCTGTACAGACCCTCGGAACCCCATCACGGTCATCAGGGGCCTGGCTGGTTCACTTCGGCTCAGTGAGTTTGGGGAAAAAGTATGCACAAGGCTGTAAGGATTGTGGTTTGTGGGACCCTTTGAGAACCACCTCCATGCTTAGAGAATTTCCACAGTGAAGGAGCGCACTCGGTCACACACAGGCTATCTCTGAGGAGTGCTGAGTGGTGTGTCAGCCAGCCTTGAGGTTTTCTGTCATCCCAGCAGTGGGCACATGGGAAGAGAGATCAGGAGTAGTTAGAGTCACTCTTCTGACTTTCTTAGTGAATAGGTGCACACACCTTTAATCCCAGTGGGGAGGCAGAGACAGGCAGATCTTTGTGAGTTTGAGGCCAGCCTGGCTTATAGAGTGAGTTCCAGAACAGCTAGAGGTATACAGAGAAACCAGGTCTCTAAAAAAACAAAATAAAACAAAAACGAATTAAAAATGAATTATAGACTACTTCTGATCCATGGTTAGTTTTTTCCTTTTTTTATGCAAAATTTTAAGCAGTATAAAACCAGAGAAAACAAGAAATAGGAAAGTAAATCTCGTTTCCTTCATACCCAGCATTCTCTCCTCCCAGGGAGCAGTTCGGGAGACATTCCAAGCTCGACTACATCTTTGACTTGAGCCATTCATTGACTGCCTACCATGTGGGCATATGCATGCCTGAGAACTCTAGTAGAGACACTTGAGGCATGAAGCAGCTGGAGAAGGGGCTGGGAAGGAGCCAGCCTTGTTAGCTTCCTCGGGCTGTGATTTGTGCCTATTCCTTGGTGCTGAGTTTTGCTAAATCTATGTCCACTTCATCAGAGTCCTGGCCAGGAAGGGGAGGGTGAGTCGAGCCTTCTGACCCGATTGACATCCTGTTTGGCACTCCCTTCAGACTTAGGCCTTTTCTCCACCAAGACTCTGGTGGAGGCAAGCGGCGAACATACAGTGGAGGTCCGTACCCAAGTGCAGCAGCCCTCAGATGAGAACTGGGACCTGACAGGTACCAGACAGATCTGGCCTTGTGAGAGCTCCCGTTCACACACCACCATCGCTAAATATGCACAGTACCAGGCCTCGTCCTTCCAGGAGTCACTGCAGGTGAGGATCAGGCACAAACGGGAACAAGGGTGCTGGGCTCTGACTTCAGTGGGCTTCAGGAAGTCACTGACCCAGACCTGTGTACCTGTCTGACCAAGCAGGAGGAGAAGGAGAGTGAGGATGAGGAATCCGAGGAACCAGACAGCACTACAGGAACCTCCCCCAGGTAGAGTATAATTCTATCCCTTCCTGCTTCGCTCTTCTCCCTTGGTTTGCCACCAACCTGTCTGTGCTTTTGCCCCAGCAGCAGTGCACCGGACCCCAAGAACCATCACATCATCAAGTTTGGCACTAACATCGACCTGTCTGATGCCAAGAGGTCAGTGAAGCTAGACCAGTGAAACTAGGATGAAACCCCGCTAGATACTGGTATGGGATACCCTCTTAACTTGGTCGGCATTCCTGTGTCCACAGGTGGAAGCCACAGCTACAGGAGCTGCTGAAACTGCCTGCCTTCATGCGGGTAACATCCACAGGCAACATGCTCAGCCATGTGGGCCACACCATCCTGGGCATGAACACTGTGCAGCTTTACATGAAGGTCCCTGGCAGCCGAACGCCAGGTGTGCTTTTCACCCTGCGCATGCGCACTGCGCTGACTATGCACACTCCGTGCTTCGGGTCTTAGCCAATGAGGGCAAAGGGCGGGGTTGTCGCTCCGTGCGCGCCGGCATCAGAACGTCCGTGACGTTCTATCTCCCTCTGCAGGCCACCAAGAGAATAACAATTTCTGCTCTGTCAATATCAACATTGGCCCCGGGGACTGTGAGTGGTTCGCGGTACATGAGCACTATTGGGAGACCATCAGCGCCTTCTGTGATCGGTGCGCACCACCCTTACTAGTCACCCCATCACATCGGGACCTTGGGTTTCCCACCTGACCCTGTGACTGCCCACTCCACAGGCATGGTGTGGACTACTTGACTGGTTCCTGGTGGCCAATCTTGGATGACCTCTATGCGTCCAATATTCCTGTTTACCGCTTCGTGCAGCGCCCTGGAGACCTGGTGTGGATTAATGCAGGGACTGTGCATTGGGTGCAGGCTACTGGCTGGTGCAACAACATTGCCTGGAACGTGGGGCCCCTCACTGGTGAGAGGCTGGGGTTGGGTCATCGTGGTACAGTGAAGGGTATGAGGAGTGAACCCTGTTAGGGAGAGCTGGGTTTGGAGAATCCGAGTCTGAAGGAAGAAGGGGCTGGGGGCTGGTTGAAAACCCTGCATTACTTCCTCTGGCCTACAGCCTATCAGTACCAGCTGGCTCTGGAGCGCTATGAGTGGAACGAGGTGAAGAACGTCAAGTCCATTGTGCCCATGATTCATGTGTCCTGGAACGTAGCTCGAACGGTGAAGATCAGCGACCCTGACTTGTTCAAGATGATCAAGTGAGACCCTGTTTGGTTATCAGCCCACCTCCACCTGGCTTGCTTTTCTACCCTTGTTCTTCCTGACTCCTCACTCCTCCCCTGTGTCTGCAGCATGTTCTTAAGTGTTACTGTGCTGGGGAGCCTGACAAAAGCCCTATTCTCATCTCATAGCCTGTTTCCTGTGGTCCAAACACATACATAAAACCTTGAAATGTCAAGTGTGACGTAGTCAAGACAGGAAATGCAACTCACAAATGAAAAGGGAGGGCTGCCCAGGGAAGTCCAGGAGGCTAGGGTCTCAGGAGCTTCACCCCTGACCATCTGCCACCCTCCAGCCTTGGCACCCCTTCTGGAGTCTTGTCTCAACACCCACCTTATGGGTCTTGCTCAGGTTCTGCCTCCTGCAGTCAATGAAGCACTGTCAGGTGCAGCGGGAGAGCCTGGTGCGGGCAGGGAAGAAAATCGCTTACCAAGGCCGCGTCAAGGACGAGCCTGCCTACTACTGCAACGAATGCGACGTAAGTGTTCAAGCTCTCCCTCTGCCTGGAAGGTTCCTAACAGTAGTAAGTAGTGACTTCTTAGTGATAGCCGCTTCCTCCTGGCCAGGTGGAGGTGTTCAACATCCTGTTCGTTACAAGTGAGAACGGCAGCCGAAACACGTACCTGGTGCACTGCGAGGGCTGTGCGCGCCGTCGCAGCGCGGGCCTCCAGGGCGTGGTGGTGCTAGAGCAGTACCGCACAGAGGAGCTGGCGCAGGCCTACGATGCCTTCACACTGGTGAGAGCGCCGGGCCTCCAGATGGGGCGCGGGAGCGGCCAGCCCCACCGGCCCACCACTGAAGCCGCCCACTTTCTCCCCGCAGGCTCCCGCCAGCACGTCGCGATGAGGCCGGACGCCCCGCTCGCCCGCCCACGCTGGGCGCGGCGGGGCCACCAGCACACGCCTGGGCTGGACCTAGGTCCCGCCTCTGGCCGGGAAGGGGGTCGGGCCCAGCCCTTCCACCCTATTGGCAGCTCCCCTCACTTAATTTATTAAGAAAAAAAAATTTTTTTAAACAAATACGAGGAAAAAAAAAGGAAAAAAAATGGGAGACGGGGAGGGGGCTGGCAGCCCCTCGCCCACCAGCGCCTCCCCTCACCGACTTTGGCCTTTCTAGCAACAGACACAAGGACCAGGCTCCGGCGGCGGCGGGGGTCACATACGGGTTCCCTCAAGCCTGCCCGCCGCGCGCCCGCCCGCCCGCCGGCGCAGACGTTCGCGGCTCGTTGTGTACATAGACGTTCGGCAGCCGAGGTTTTTAATGAGATTCTTTCTATGGGCTTTACCCCTCCCCCAGGACCTCCTTTTTTTACTTCCAATGCTAGCTGTGATCCCTGTATATGTCTTTTGTTTATTCACTTGGTTATGATTCGTATTTTTGTTTTTGGTTTTTAATTTATAACAGTCCCACTCACCTCTATTTATTCATTTTTGGGTTTTTTGTTTTTTCTTTCTTTTTTTTGGGGGGGGGAACCTGACCTCCTACACCCCCAAGCCATCCCTCCTGCCTCTTTGGGAGGCCCACTCCTGGGCCCTCCCTGCGCCCCAGTATATGTCCGGGCTTGGCCCGTCCGTCTCCGCCCGCCCGCGGCTTCAGCCGGGCTCTCATGGTGCTCAAACCTGCTCCCCTCCCCTACGTCCTGCACTTTCTTGGACCAGTACCCCTACTCCTGACCCGACCCCAACCCCACCTGAGGGTGAGCGACTCCTGTACTGTAGGGGAAGAAGTGGGAACTGAAATGGTATTTTGTAAAAAAATAATAAATAAATAAAATAAAAAAAGTTTTAAAGAAAGAACTATGAGGAAAAGGAACCCTGTCCTGCCCAGCCTCGGCCATTTTAAAAACATTGGACACCTACACACACACATCCTTTTTTAAGGGCGTGAAACATCCCAGGGCAGGGCCTCTCTGGTGCAGGGACACCCTGGGGTGATTTTCTCTGGGGCTTTATTTTCATTTTCTTAGTTCGTTTTTTCTCCCGCTGGGGCTGCGGAGGGGTGGGGGGGGTTTACAGTCCCGCCCCCTCGCACTGCACTGTCTCTCTGCCCCGGGGGCAGAGGGGGCTTCCCATCCCTACCCTATTTTCGGTGATTTTTGTGTGAGAATATTATTAAAAATAAAAGCAGGAAAAAAAAAAGACCCTTGTGTTTGATGATGGCTGTGAAGCTTATCAGTTGAAGGGTCGAGGGACTGATGGGAGGGCAGTGCAGCCCCCGGAGGTGGCGAGCCCCTCCCGGAGGAGCCTGTGGAATGTCCAGAACCACAGTCTGCTCCTTAGGATGAGGATGCCTAATCCCAGAGCCGCATTCCAGGATAAGGTAGTGGGGGGCGGGGTGGGGAGAGACTGCCCCGGGGGAGGGGCAGGAAAGAGGGCTATAAGGACTGCAGCCGTGCGGGGCGGGAACCAAGCAGGCCATGGCGGAGGTCCCTGGAGCCCAGCGCCCCGTGGTCGCTGGCGGCCCAGAGCCCCGGGATCCCCTAGATTGCTGGGCCTGTGCAGTGCTGGTAACGGCTCAGAATCTGCTGGTGGCTGTTTTCAATCTCCTCTTGCTGGCGCTGGTGCTGGGGACCATCTTGCTACCTGCTGTCACCATGTTAGGCTTCGGCTTTCTCTGCCACTCCCAGGTAAGCATGTGCCCCAAGGGGTGTGCGTGAGTGGTGTGTGGGCGGGTGGTCTTTGAGCCACAACATCCCTACGTGGGCTGTCTCCTCCTGGGCAGAGTCGGCCCATTCTTATGTGTCTTATCCGCACAGTTTCTGCGCTCTCAGGCACCCCCTTGCACCGCGCATCTGCGGGACCCAGGGTTCACTGCCCTGTTGGTCACTGGATTCCTACTGCTCGTGCCGTTGCTTGTGCTTGCCCTGGCTACCTACCGCCGCCTCTGCCTGCGCCTCCGCCTGGCCGACTGCCTCGTGCCCTACAGCCGAGCCCTCTACAGGCGCCGGCGCATCTCACAGCCGAAGCAAATCTCAGTCTCACCAGGTTCGCGGTCTGTTCCCACACCGGGAAAGGTGTGGGTCTGAGGTGCTTATAGTCAAGAATCCTGTCGATTGTCCTCCTGATCTCTCAAGGACTTGAAGCAAGCCCAGGGATGTACTGCCCAACCCAGCTCCTTACCGCTGCCTGAGTCAGATCCTAGCATCCCTTTGATGGAACAGCAGAATGTGGGCGCAAAGCTGGCGAAAATTCCCATGTCCCAGAAAATTCATTCACATTTGATTCCTGAACGTTTGGGCTGGACCCTGCACATCTTCTTTCCCTTCCCTAGTGTAAATAGGAGAGCTAGACCTTGTGCCTTCCTTTGCTGGTGCAGCTCCTCCAGAATTTACGGGACTGAGGGACAGGGCTCGAGAAGAAACCATCACAAATAATAAAAAATTTATAAAATGAATGCGCTCTGTGAATACAGGGGTGGCACATAGCCAATCGCCCCTGCCCAGGAGTAGGAAACAAATCCTCAAGAGTACAAATGGGCAAACCAGAGAGCATCTTTCAGCATCCTGCCTTTCCTTATCGCACTAGTCCGTTCTTCCTGGTCAGACCCCAGAGTTCTCTGGCCCTGACCCCAAAGGCACTTCCCCATTAATAGCGCAGAAAGGGCCTTGTTTCGGCTGCCTACCCAGCTCCCCTTGGGGACCCGAGCCCGTTCTCTGACCCCAGCTTAAAGGAACTAAGTGTTGCCAGGCCGGGGTGGGAAACAATGGGTCTTCCGGAGCAGGATGACACCCCTTCCCGCTACAATCTAAGCAGGAGCGTGGGAGGGAAAATGGAGGGGCCCACCCTAGGGCCTGTTGCCTTAAGTGCATAACTTGAGGGAAGGTTTGGTACTCCTGGGCATTAGGTTGAAGGGGCAGGTTGAGGAAGCTCCTGGACTCAGATGAACCTCTAAGGGTGGGGTGTACTATCCCTACCCTGACATTGGACCAACACACAGACACGGGCCACTTTGGTCAAAGGGTTTAATGGTCTCAAAGAAAAGTGTAATCGTGGTCAGAGATACGGGCTCCCCGATAGACTCTCCCTTTGGACTTCAATAGAAACGATGTGGTGTCCTGGTACCATGGCCAGACCCAGCACACGGGGCTCCCCCGCAGAAAACGAATCTGGAAAAAAAAAAAAAAAAGAGTCAGAGTATCAGAACAGCAGGCAAACATCGGTCTCGCCCCAGAAAATAAGGGGGTGCAGTAAGGCCCGCAAGAGGAAATGCCTTGCAGTGAATTTCCGCCGCATTCCCGAAGAGATAGGTGTGTATTCCTTGAGCACTGACCAGAAGGCTTGAGGAACTCTTGCGCAGAGCCCAGGATGACATTACAGTCGCGATCGGTGCACAGGAAGCAGCCGACTAGTGTCCTTCCATCTGTCATACGAATACGCATGGTCTTGTTGAGTAATGCCTCTAGTTGCTGCCGTGCACGCGCTGCTGGCGAGTCCTCCGGCTCCCCATCAGAGTCCTGCTAGGGCAGGACAAGCACTCAGAGGTCCAGTGTCGGCAGCACGCCCATAGAACCACAGTTCCCAGCTGCCCTCGCGGCGCTGCCCGAAGCCCGTGGGCTGCTGGGAACTGCAGTTCCCTTTACCAACCTCTCCACCCCCTTTCCCCTCCCCGCCCGGTGTAGCTGCCCGACTGTTCCTCCAGAACCCGAGCCCACGCTAACCCCGGCGCTGGAGCTGCTCTGACGCCGACTGCAACAGCCATTCTCCTCTCGTAGTAGCATGGTCGGCCCAGCTCCGGCCATTGGCCCTGGGACCGCCTTTGAGCCTCAAACTTCCTAAGAGCGTTTTGGGGTCGGCGCGTCAGATCTCGCGAGTGCTCCCAAGCTCTTTCGTGAGATCACAATTCTTGTCTCCGATTCCGCCACTACAGAGATCTCGCGAGATTTTATTTCATGCAAGGCTGCTCGATGCCTACTAGGGTATTAAAAGAATATCGCGAGAACTTTACCTGCAATTTCTTAAACAGCTTTTAGAAACGCCTGAAATTTGGGGGTTTATAGACCCTTTATTCTAGTCTCCTCGTCGATATTTTCTATTACCCCTAACTCAATCAGTTTCATAATGGAGTGTAGACTAGATGAGTAAGAATGAATTCAACAACAGTATGCTCGATGCCGGAATCCAGAATGTTTCCGGTGAACACGGGCAGCCCAAGCCCCGCCCTGCTTACGTATATTATCTCAAGTGGACGGTGGCCGGAAAAGGACAATGGTTTCCATGTCAGCGACAAACGCACTCCTGGTAGTTCTTGAACCTGATAGTTTTAAGATTGCTGAGGAGAGAGAAAGTAGCTGAGGGAGCCCGTGCCTCTTGTAGAACAGGAGCCATGCCGCGCCGGGGCCTAGTGGCGGGGCCAGACTTTGATAACTTTCAGCGTCGGTATTTCACGCCGTCAGAAGTAGCGGCACACAACCAGCCCGACGACCTATGGGTGTCTTACCTGGGATTTGTTTACAATCTAACACCGCTTGTACAGGAATTCAAAGGTGAGGGGCACACGCTAAGGGAAGGGCTGGAGAGCTGGTTCTGGCACTTGGGTGTCCGGCCGTTGACAGCTTCTGTTCCTTTTTAGGGGATCTACTGTTGAAACCCATCTTGGAGGTTGCAGGCCAGGACATTAGTCACTGGTTTGATCCAAAGACCAAAGACGTAAGTGCTGTTGGAGTGTGGGATTGGTGACCGGAGGAGGGATGGCGGGGAATAACTAGAACCCGCAATAGTGATTGCTCCTATCCTTCTCTCCAAACCCTTGCTTTTGAAGATTCGCAGGCACATAGATCCACTAACTGGTTGCATGAGATACCGCACCCCGCGGGGCCGCTTCGTGCATATCCCGCCGCCTCTGCCCCGTTCGGACTGGGCCAATGATTTCGGAATACCCTGGTGGAAGGGGGTAAATTACCAGGTGGGGCGGCTGTCTGCCCGGACCCGGAACATCCGTATTATTAACACTCTTACAACGCAGGAGCATACATTGCAGGTGAGATCTGGTGCCTGGGGACATACTAGAGGAACCAGAAATCACTTCTGCGCCTTCTTCCCTTCATATTAACATGACAGAGGAAAGCAGATGATCCTGGTACCCAGAGTTGGAAATTCTAGAAGTATGTTTGTCTTACAGCTACCACAGTCTCCTTCATAGATCTAGGCCAGCATCTTAGTGATGGTGGTCCTTGGAAGGGTTTTATATGCTGTTATAGATCCATTGTAAATGAGAGGCACCGGCGTTGACTCTATTGAGTCATTTGTTAGAAGTGATAGGACTGTGGTGTCTTTATAATATGCTGTAGTTTCAACTTTCCTTATCTAGGACTACGGGATGCCTGGGGGGTGCTAATCTGCAATGGAGGCACTCTTCATTCAAGCTCTGTTGTTTCTTGCGACTGATTCTCTTCTATTATTCTTCCCAGTTTCCTTAGAGCAAATACTGAAAGGTCTAGGTATAAGGACCCTTCTGACTTTTGGGGAGTGTGTGTGTGTGTGTGTGTGTGTGTATGTATGTTCCACGCAGAATTCTAGAGGTGGATACTTCTGTGTTCTTTAGGTGGGAGCTCTGGAGTCAATGTGGGAAATCCTACACCGGTATCTCCCCTATAATGCACATGCTGCCAGCTATACATGGAAATACGATGGGAAGAATTTGAACATGGATCAAACCCTGGAAGAAAATGGGATCCGGGATGAAGAAGAAGAGTTTGACTATCTTAATATGGATGGTGCACTTCACACACCTGTGATACTGCTCTACTTCAATGATGACCTCACAGAGCTATAGGAAAGGAGATGTGCATGTAGATGCAAGATGTTTGCCTTTGCCTCTTTCTATGCCTTGAGGAAAAGAGGTGTGGGTCTGTGGGGCCTGGGCCTACACCTCCGTTCCTTGCTGGGAATCAGCCCGTGGTTCTTGTGCCTTATCCCTGCCTCCTTTGCTCATGGGTGATGTGCTCAAAGAGTATTAGGGGGGTCCTGGGGGAGACTCCCTAGAACAGAAAGGGACCTAGAGACTCTCAGGGATGTGAGGAGGAGGTAAGGCTCAGGCAAAACTTTTTAGTAGTAAGAGAAAGACACACAGGGATGAAGGGATGGAAGAACTTTTTCGGCAAAGGTGAGAATGAGATGTTTGTAGGAAGGTGACAAGGATTTGGAAATTATTAGCATTACCAATCATAGGTGGTTGACTTCCTTTCTAAAGGTGTTTACTAGTTGGTGCCCCAGGAAAAGTGAATGCAGTTAGTTTAGGATTGAAATCATGCTGGAGTTTTACACTGTTCAGTACAGCTATCCTGTAAGGTGAACACATTCATGCTATCTCACAGGTAATTCCTTAGGAGTTTACAAAGGTTCAGTAGCACAAGTGCAGGTTTATGAGTCATGGTAGAGCCACAGTGCACAAGCCTGCCCAACTCTGAAAGTCAGGCATTCTTCAGTGTAAAGGAACATTCTCAGCTTTGCCTAATGCTAACATTTTTGATGGCTGCTTTCAAACCAAGTATTTGGAATGTGAGCTTGCCCTAGGCTTGTTGCATGATGGGGAAATGTAAGCCTATTGTGTACTCAGTATTTACTGTGTTCGAAGGGTTAAAAGAGTACTCTAGGGATAGAAGCAGGGAAGGCTAGATTTCAGCCAAGCACTGGCTACTGAGGCTACTTCCTTGTTGATATCATAAGATTTCTGACTATTTGGGCATAAGAAGATAGATATTTAGTGACTCCAGGAAAATTCAGAATGGAGAAAGGGCCTGTAGATCAAGACACTGTAGTGAGGGACCCAAAAGGGGGCACCTTCTTTTTCCAGTAGGCCTTGCCACTAACAGACAGCAAGGAAGACAGAGTTGAATTTGTCAAATGGTGACCCTGAAAGAGGTTTGTTGTGGTCAGACAGAGAGGAACTAAGAGAGGCAGACACCTCTCACAGTGGCTGACTACATCTGGTTCCCTTTATCCCTAACAGAGGAGGGGAATTAAGAATAACTGATAAATTGAGCCAGGCGTGGTGGCTTTAATTACAGCACTGAGGAGGCAGAGGCAGGTGGATCTCATGAGTTCCAGGCTAGCCTGGTCTACAAAACAAGTTTCAGGACAGCCAGAGCTACATAGAGAAACCCTGTCTCAAATCAAACCAAACCAAACCAACAACACAGTAACTGGAAAGTGAACTTCCCTGCAGCCGCAGCCGCAGCCGCAGCGAACACGAGTCAAAGAGCTTGCGTCCTGCCGGCAGTGGCATCTGGCTGCAGGGTGAGGTTCCATGACCTCATGAGACACTAGTGGGATGCACTGTCTCAAAGGGTGACTGTGGGAAACATGAACAAATGTGGGCTCAAACTCTTGATTTCAGTGATTTCTTAATCTATTGATGGTGAAGACTTTCACTTAGTCCCATGCAACCTAACAGTCCATAAATTGTTTGGATCAATCAATCGTGATATTTAGTCAGCTCGGAAGTGATCTATGTGTATTCTTATTTGTTCTTCTGAGTCTTACACTGTCTGAGAGCCAAAGCAGTTCCTCCCATGACATCCTCAGAGAATGTTCTGGGGTGTGCTCGTTCTGCCCAAGCTTGTCTCTTTTCCAGGACATCCCACTTGTAGATTTTTTTTACCTGGGATGGGGAGGGGGTGGTGTCTCATTATGTGTGTGTGGGGTCTCATGTAGCCCTGACTGGCCAGGAACTCAGAGACCACTTGCCTATTCACAACTTCTTGTTAGAAACACATGCTCCTTTCCCTATTTGTCCAAGCATTCATCAATTCTAATTCTAAGAATCTTTGGAATTTGTTCTTTTGTCTAATATAATAAACCATCTTTGTCTCAGATTACTGGGAAACTAACTGATATTAAATTTCTACCTCTGCCTTCACAAACCTAAGTCTTACTTTCTGCCCCAGATGTTTAGTAGATTGTTGATGCTTTTGGAATAAAGCCCTAAATTCAAATTCAAAATGCATAAATCAGGCCCTCCCTTCCTTGCCCATGGCACCCCTCACAGCCCTCCTTGGTCTACAAGCCATGAGGGCTCTCTTTGCCTCAGTTAACACAGAAGCTGTTCTCAGTGTACCATGCCCTTCTATTTTGCCCCTTGATTATCCTAACCAGTTTTGTCTTTGTCTTTTTTGGCCCCATCTCAGCAGTCTTCATTTTTCTGTGTTCTTATTATCACTTTAAAACTATGTAGACTGGCCAGGCACTGGTGGCTCACACTTTTAATCCCAGCACTTGGGGAGGCAGAGGCAGGTGGATATCTGAGTTCGAGGCCAGCCTGGTCTACAGAGTGAGTTCCAGAACAGCCAAGGCTATACAGAGAAACCCTGTCTCGAAAAACCAAACCAAAACAAAACAAAACAAAAACAACAACAACAACAAAAAAAACCCAAAACAAACAATGTAGACAAGGTGAAAATGGCTGGCTGCTAGATTGTAAGCTCATAAGGGCAGAAACCTCACTCATTTCTGTATTCTCACTGCTGAGTAATAGCTGCTGCTCAATAAATACCACCGAATGAACTCAGATGTCAAGAAATTCATCTGTCTGCAATACTAGTGGGTCTGATGTGTCTTGAAAGCAAGGTGGGACCAGGACAGTAGCATGGCTGGCCCTATTCTGTGGTCTCAACCCACAGGTGTGTTTTTTTCTTTCCTTCCACAGAACCAGGACTCAAAATTACCCTGCAATGGCAGGAGAGACAGTTGTGGGTGATCCACTTGTGATTTCCTCTATGGCCACCAGGTGGCTCTAACGACTAACGAGTCAGGAGAGTGAAACCAATGTCAAAGACTTGAAGGGGCCATAGAGGGGAAACCAGGGGAGGGTAGTAGGAAGAAAACCTGCATGGCCACCACTCTGTTAGCGTAAAGTTTATGCCTGATTTTAATTTTTTCCATAAATACATAAATACTTTAAGAAGTCATATTTGGGGCTAGGGAGATGGCACAGTGGTTAAGAACACTTGACTGTTCTTCCAGAGGACCATCTGTAACTCTACTTTTAAGGAATCTGACACCTGTACACATTTAAAAAAAAAAAAATCTCGGCCGGGGGTGGTGGTGGTGGTGGTGGTGGCGTACGCCTTTAATCCCAGCACTTGGGTGGCAGAGGCAGCCGGATTTCTGAGTTCGAGGCCAGCCTGGTCTACAGAGTGAGTTCCAGGACAGCCAGAGCTATACAGAGAAACCCTGCCTCGAAAAACAAAACAAAACAAAACAAAAAAGCAGTAGTGGCAGGGTGTCATAAACCTTTAATCTCAAGGAAAAAAGGCCATTTATTGGCTGGGGTGGGTGGCAGGTTTGGTGTACGGCTTGGGATGTAGTTAATAAAGCATTGTTAGAGAGGTGGGTGTGCATGGCCTGAGGTGTACTTTAGAAATGAGAGGAGGATATCATGTTTTGTGTTTAGATTTAGCCCCCTTTAGCCTTCACAGTGGGGAGAGTGCGTCTTCCAAGTTGCAGCCTCAGGTTCCAGTGTGGGATAAGACCACTGGGCGGGCTGAAGTACTGATGTAGGCAGCACTATGTAATCCAAGCTGACATCAAACTCCCCATCCTACTGCCTCAGCCTCCCGAGTCCTGGGACTGCAGGCATGTACCACCATGCCCCAGTGTCTTATCATCAAAAGCAACCTGGGGAGGAAAGGGTTTTTAAGCTTACAGTTGTAGTCCATCATGAAGGAAAGCCAGGGCAGGAACTCAAGGCTGGAAGCCTGGAGGCAGGAACTGAAGCAGAAGCCATGGAGGATGCTGCTTACTGGCTTGCTCCTCATGGCTTATTAAGCCTGCTTTTTTTTTTTTTTTTTAAATATAACTCAGGACCACTGGCTCAGGGGTGGCACCACTCCCGGTGGACTGGGCTTCCAATACCAGTCATTCATTTTAAAATGCCCTACTATGGCATCTTCTCAACTGACACTCCTCTTCCTAGATAACTCTAGCTGCGTCAAGATGACAAAAACAACACCAGGACACTTAGCTAGCTGTTTTTAAGTTACTAGAAGTACACTAAAAACCATAGCTGACGTGTAAATGAGCAAGGGGACCATTGAAGGGGCAGGAGGGGTAGACAGATGAGGAACAAGATGTCCTATTGGTTTACTAATACCTGTTGCTTATTTTGTTATGAGGCCTTCCTGTAGGTGCTGTCTTGTTCTAAAGCTGGACATTTGACATGAGGAATATGTGACTCATGTTTCAGGCTGAGATCTAGAAAGCAGGGAACATGGGCTTAGGGGTAAGTCCTCTGGGGTAGTTGTTACGTGTGTGTAGGAAGGAGAAGGGTAAAGACCGGAATGTTAAGAGCGGCTGTCCTCAGTAAGTCATAGCACCTTCAAAGGACCCATTGGTAGTTGTCTACAAACTGGTGGTGACACACTTCATTGGGGACAATAAGCATATATTCCTTGCAGGTAAAAGGCTCTGCCTCATGGCACGTAACCTGGACATCTTGAAACTTTCTAAATATGTATGCCTGCGTGCGTGTGTGCACGTGTGCACTATTTTGGAAAATGATAATTTTCATCAGATTCCCCAAAGAGCCCAAACCCCTGCCCATGGTAGCAGCTTCACTTGTACAAAAGCAACAAGACTTTAAAAGCCTGAGAAGTCACAAACAGGGTGCCTGGCACCATCGTAATGATCAGTGTCAGCCATATCACTTCTGTTGTGTTCCACAGCAGGAATTCCTAACGTTTTAATCTTTGGAGTTAACGACTGGTCCGGAGTCTTTTACAGCTATCCTGGAGTTTTTTGATCTGGTTGTGCCTTGTAGTGGAGGCTCAAGTGTTTCCAGCTCATTTAAGCTGGAGACTATATAACCCCCAGTCATGACGTGTGGATAAGGTTGCTGTATCCAGATCCAGAGGTGAGTTAGTGGAGAGCACACAGTTGAGTTGTTACTAGGACAGCCAGTGTATGACAGGTAAGCAGGAGTACTTAAGGAGTGTAAGAAAGCAGAGTCTGAGACCTAAGGGACCCAACGGTCCTCATCTCAGAAATCAGATAACAGAGTACTGGGCATGGATACTTTAGGCACATAGGAAACACTATAAAACAAAACTTGTGTGTGAATAAATGAGGGGGCACTGTTAAACTTGGGATAGGGAAAAGACTGGTGAGGGAAAAAAATCTTAGCCTGCTACAACCGTGTGCCCTTCTGGACCAGAGCCGTGCCATCTAGTGCCCTCGAAGAGCTACTGCTGGGGGGTTGGGGGGTGGGACTCAACTGTCCACCTAACTCATCCCTGTGTTGCCAGTAGTTGTGCAGTGCCTGACACAGGATTTTAACAAATGAATGCTTATGTCAGGCGTGAACATTACTAGGATGAAGAGATGGTTCAGCAGCTCAGAGCATTTATTGCTCTTGCAGAAGATTAGGGTTCAATTCCCAGGACCCACATGGTAGGTCACAACCATCCATAACTCCAGTTCCAGGGGACTTGATGCTGTCTTCTGGCCTTTGAGGGCACTAGGCACACAGTGGTGCACATACATACTTCCAAGCAAAGAAGTCACACCTATAAAAGAACTTGGAAACAATTTGAGAAGCATGAAGTTACCACACAACTCCCAAGTTTAAGTCCATGTAAGGGGCTGGAGCGATGGCTCAGCGGTTAAGAGCACTGACTGCACTGGGCAGTGGTGGCGCCTGCCTTTAATCCCAGCACTTGGGAGGCAGAGGCAGGCGGATTTCTGAGTTCCAGGACAGCCTGGTCTACAGAGTGAGTTCCAGGACAGCCAGGGCTACACAGAGAAACCCTGCCTCGAAAAAAAAGAGAGAGAGAGAGAGAGAGAGAGAGAGAGAGAGAGCGCAAGCTAGCACTGACTGCTCTTCCAGAGGTCCTGAGTTCAATTCTCAGCAACCACATGGTGGCTCACAACCATCTGTAATGGGATCTGATGCCCTCTTCTGGTGTATCTGAAGACAGTTATAGTATACTTACATAAATCTTTAAAAAAAAAAAAATGTGGGCTATACAGAGAAACCCTGTCTCAAAAAACCAAAAAAAAAAAAAAAAAAAAAAGTCCATGTGGACCCAAGAGCAAAGTGTCCCAAGCCCTACCTGATTGACAGTCTGGACAGGAAGTGAGAGGTACACTGCTGAACTGTCCTAACCCTTATACATGTTTACACTTGTCAGCCTAAAGGGGGTAAATATTAACCCCTAATACACCACAGTATTTGGCTGCATGTAACAAAGCTGGCTATTGGGGCTAACTGCAAAGATTTAAATCTATCCACATAACCAGAGGTCTTCAGTTAGTGAAACTGTAATTCCACTAGATCATCCGTCACAAGAATGTCCTCTTTCCCTTTTCATCCTCACAGTTTTCAACATTCTGGCTGCTCTGTTCCTAACCTGGATTTCAGGTGACCGGGGGTGGGGGTGGGGTGGCAGAGAAAGGGCTGTGCCTACATCGAGAAGGCAGAGACATTTTAACATTTCTAGCAGACCTTGAGTTTTTGTTGTTACTGTTGGTTTGTTTCTTTTCCTTTTTCTTTCTTTCTTTCTTTCTTTCTTTCTTTCTTTCTTTTTTTTTTTTTTTTTTTGAGACAGGGTTTCACTATGTGGCTCTGGTTGCCTGGAACTCTTATGTAGATCAGGGTGACCCTCTCAGTTGTGCTTCCTGGATGCTGGAGTTAGAGTCGGGAGTCACCTTGCCCAGTCAGTGACTAGGTTTTATTGATAGGAAATGGTTTACACTATAGCACAAAGGCTCAAAAGAATCTGGCACAGTATCTTCTGATACCCAAACAAGACAGACACTGGGTAGGAACCAGTGGAACTTTTCATTTATCCGCAATGGGAAGAGTACTGCTCATCCATTCATTAACAGAAAGTTCATTTGCACTCGGTCTGGTTCCAGGTATTCGGGT